GCTTAAAAACATTTAAAGTAAAAAAGCCACTTATTTATGAAGCCCCTTATTGCCATCGTTGTATTTATTAAATGTGTGGATGTTTTTTATTTTAAGTATGTTTTAAGCTATATGGTCTTCTGGACTATTATGGAAACAATATTGTGTACTACATTTAAAGGGCAACTTCAACCTAAACCTGAAGTTTAGGTATGCATATTTTTGCATAGTTATATTGGTCCAGCTTCTTCCAATGTAAGTATGTATGTGCCATACCTGGCCAATCTCCGGGGAAGCCGTCAGTTACCAATATGTACCACTACTCTGGTACTGGAGGTGAGGGGAAATCTTCTCATCCTTCTATATTGTATTAACAATGGTTGTTTTCATTAAACTGGAGCTCCAACCAAGAGGGGAAGTTCCGCTGTAAGGACTGGCATCTTTGGGGAGTAGTGGGTACCAGAAATTGACAGGCACATACTCCCTTTTCCGCTGCGATCACCTAAGTGATCGAAAGCGGAGATTGTCTTCCCTACTCCCCCCCCCTGTGAAGTGGAGCAGTGATGTATACAGTGATTCCTTAAAGCGGAGCTCCACCCAAAAGGGGAAGTTCCGCATTAAGGACTGGACCCCCGCTCCCCGTTAAGGACTAGAACCTTTGGGTAGAGGGTACTTTTTCCGCTGCGATTGCCTAAGCGATCAGAAGCGGAGGTTGTCTTTTCTACCCCCTTAATGTGAAGTTGAGCAGTGATGTATACATTAATGATTCCTTAAAGCGGAGTTCCACCCAAAAGGGGAAGTTCCGCATTAAGGACTGGACCCCCGCTTCCCGTTAAGGACTGGCGCTTTTTGGGGAGTGGGTACCTGAAATTGACAGGCACATACTCCCTTTTCCGCTGCGATCACCTAAGTGATCGGAAGCGGAGGTTGTCTTCCCTACTCCCCCCACTGTGAAGTGGAGCAGTGATGTATACAGTGATTCCTTAAAGCGGAGCTCCACCCAAAAGGGGAAGTTCCGCATTAAGGACTGGACTCCCGCTCCCCGTTAAGGACGGGCATCTTTGGGTAGCGGGTACTTTTTCCGCTGCAGTTGCCTAACCGATCGGAAGCGGAGGTTGTCTTTTCTACCCCCCTACTGTGAAGTTGAGCAGTGATGTATACAGTAATGATTCCTTAAAGCGGAGCTCCACCCAAAAGGGAAGTTCTGCTTTAAGGACTGAACCCCAATCCCCGTTAAGGATTGACCCCTTTGGGGAGCAGGGATTGCCTAGGTGATCGGAAATGGAAGTTGTCCTCCTCCCTGTAGTCTTCTGTGACACGTGATAGGTCCCAGAAGACTACGGGACCATTCACAAAACGTTACGCTACTCACACATGAAGCCGCAAGCTGTCACAGCCGGATGCCCACACTGAAAATGCTGGCACCAGGAACAAAAGGCAGCCGGTAAAAAGGGCATTTGGGGGGGGACACCATGGGATCGAGGGACAGGTGAGTGGATGTTTTTTAAAAGTCAGCAGCTACAGTTTTTGTAGCTGCTGAATGTATTTATTTATTTATTTTTTACATTTTCACTCCGCTTTAATTTAATTTTGTAATATTATTATTATTTTTGTTTTGTAAAAGCTCTTCCATTATGCTCCTGCTCTTACCCACGCTGTTGCTGGGCTTGAAATATTCCCTGAAACTGAAAAGTTAACAACTACTATGAAGTTGTCAATTTCTTCCCCATGGTAGCCAGAAACCTCTTCACACTGAATAGACGTAATTGTATCTCTGGCTCCCTCCCCTTCATTAATAGAATACATCTAGTAACCTGGGGTTAATAATAAACCACCACTGGGAGATGGCTGGGCAGATTTCGGCTGTGTTACAGTCCCGTGCAGTGTTTTTCATGGAATGCAGTACAAGTTAAAACGTGCCTGTGGTATCGTACCCATTGCCGTGTCAAAAGACTTTCTGTTAGGACTTCAAGGAACTTGTCTGGCCAAATTATATTCTGGCAGTGTTTAACTTCCCCAAGAATGTAAGGCTATAGCTGTGAAATGAAGTGTGCTCAAGGCTTGCTCAGTGTCTACACATTCTCTCCATGTTTTTTTTCCTCAGCGAAAGCTGCTGTGTGCATAATCCTTGCATTGTTTGTTTCTGGTGTGGACGGGGACAAGACTGCAAGTGAAGTAACGGGGCTGCTGGATGAAAGCAAGAAAGCTAGATTATACAGAGCTTATGTAATAGAACCTAGATCTCTCACTGGATCACTGGAACAGCTTGTGCAGTCTTTGGTCACATCTTCAAGGATAGGTTTCTTTGATTTAAAAGGACACGTTTTTGTTGTAATTTATAAAAAAGAAATTGGTCTATGGAAGGGTCAGGCCAGGCAAAATGTTTCAGTTTTAGACAGTCACCACTGACTCTGCAGGAACTGGGGCTGTCACTTCATTCATCTTTAAATCTTTAAAGTATAACTACAGGAACATTTTTTTTTTTTTTTTTTTTTTAGTTTGGATAAAGTAAACAGGATTTTAACCCCATCAGTCTTTTTTTATTTTTTTTTTTATTTTTTTGCTATCTTGTGTCCCATAGGGGAGATTCCCTTCACTTCCTGTCCAAAAGGCCATAGTGAAAACAGGATGTGAGAGGAAATCCTTCCAAAGGGAGGGAATCGCAGTGTGACACCAGGCTCACCAGAATTGGTGTCCCCATTGGAAGATGTACCCTTTATTACTTTTTTGATGTCAACCCAAAACTTGGGATTTTCTTTTACTTTCACTTTCAGTGATAATGGTAATCAGGACAAATAGAGAGGGGGAATCTCTCTAATGGGCACAGACAACAATAAAAGCCTGACAGGGGATCGAATACCTCTCCACTCTATCCAAAACCAAAAAAAAAAAGGTTTTAGTTCCAATTTAATGTCAAACCTGCCCACCTTACTTAATAAGTAAATAAAAAAAACTCTCTCCTCTTCTCTCCCTCTCCTCCCCCTCTTTCCTCCTCCCTCTACCCTCCTCCCTCTACCCTCCTCCTCTACCCTCCTCCCTCTCCTCCTCTACCCTCCTCCCTCTACCCTCGTTCCTCCCTACCCTACCATCCTCCCTCTCGTTCCCATCCTCGTTCTACCATCCTCTTCTCTCCTCCTCTACCTCTCTCTCTCTCTCCTCTCTCCTCGTTCTACCATCTCTCCTCGTCCTCCTCTCTCTCCCCTCGTTTCTCCATCTCTCCCCTCTCTCTCCTCTCTCTCTCTCCTCCTCTCTCTCCTCCTCCTCTCTCTTCTCTCTCCCCTCCTCCTCCTCCTCCTTCCTCCTCTCTCTCTCTCTCCTCCTCTCTCTCTTTCCTCCTCTTCCTCTCTCTCTCCTCCTTCCTCCCTTTCTCCTCCTTTCCTCCTTTCTCCTCCTCCTTCCTCCTCCTCTCTCCTTTCTCCTCCTTTCCTTCCTCCTCCTCTCCTCTCTCCTTTCCTCCTCTCTCCTTTCCTCTCTCTCTTTCCTTTATTTTCTTCTTCTGCTATTATTAAAGCATATGTAAACTCTCACCTTGTAATACATGTTGGGTTTACATATTCTTTATAAGAATTTATAGATACAGCAGATTTTAGTGGAGAGTTACTTTTTAATATAGAAATGTTACATTTGTAGTAGGAGCTGTAAAATGACACAGGCCAGATAGCCAACATGGCAACCAAATTTTTAAAGCAGAACTCCAGGGAAAAAAAAACTTTTTTCTGACCTTTGCTGTGTACAAATAGATTTCCTCTAATAAGGACTCTCTTAGTTCTGGATGGCTGCTGCTTAAAGGCAAACTATCAGTTTTGTTCATGCTGGATGGTACTTCATGCAGCTGAGAGGTGCGGCTCTCATACAGTGAAGAGATTCTTTTTGCCCTTCCTCTCCCCTTTTTCATTGACAAAACCCCTTTTATTCTTTTCACTGAATTCAAGGCACTCTGTGAATGGACGAGGAGAACCATCATTGGAGGTAGATTTTTTTTTTTATACAACAGAGGTCATAAAAACATTGCTTCCTGGAATTACGCTTTTAGGTCCTTTCTTGATGTTATTGTATGAAAATTTTCACTGTCTCCTTTGAAGCCATCGCTGGTACTTGCCATTCGTTGTCCGCTTCCTGAAGTGTGTAGTAATTTCTGTTCAGTTGATTAGATGAGGTACAAGTATTTCACTTGTATAATGCTAGCATTGGATTGTGTTTACATTCGGGAATGAATCACGGTATTTATGACAAGGTATGTTAATACTCAGTTTTGTCATAGTCGCCTTCATAATAATTAGACCATGTTGTCATAATTATAGGCCCTGTCCACGTATCGGCCATCTTTTATGCCAATGACTGGTTGTCTTAGTGTAATTACTATCAAATACTACAAGTATTCAGTGGGACTATGTATTATTCAAGAATTTTAGCAAAATGATAACACATTCTATAAAACCAATTAAGAAGATGGTCTGCCTCCATTAGAACCTCATTGACCCATTTCAATGTTAAAATAATAAAAGCTTCATCTTCTTACAGCAGGGAATGGCACTTTTCATGAGTACCCTTGAGCAGCTCATATGATGCCTAGTGCCCAGAGTGTTCTATAACTAAGCATTTTACAAATCAGGCCTAGTTACAAGAAAATTACAATTTGATTTTTTTGGTTCACCACAGATTAAATTAGAAAAAGGATTTTTTTTAATATCATTACAATATAGGAATGCCGTATGTGAGAATAGTGTATTGTACATGATCTATGGAAGTAGCGTTTCCTTTTAATTCTATTTTTGTTTTTTTTGACAGATTTGATTGAAAATGCTTATACCGCCTCTCTTATTAAACGGGACTTTAAGGTCACAGAAGTGAATGAACATAACTTGCAGAGGAACCATATCACTGTGTCAAAAAAACGGAACTGGTTGACACAGAGCACTCACAGATATGATTATAAAGCCATTTGTCAGACCTCCATTTCATACCCAATTGGGACTAAAGAACCAGAGCTCCTTTTGTCCAGGACAGAGAGAGAGATTCCTGTTAAAGCACAAGAGACCAAAACTCTCCCTGCCACTCCTGTTAGCCCTTTAGCTTTGCCCGCCACTGACCTCACTGAAGAGAACGATGCCGACGATGAAGGAGAAATTTGGTACAATCCCATCCCCGAAGATGATGATCCTTATATCTGCCCCAATCAAGCATCCACTAAGATGGTGCCTGATCCAGGACAGGAGGTGCTTGAGGCACCGGGGAAAGCTGGAGGGGTTCTAAACACAGGGGACCCATCACACATGTCTCCTTCCACTGAGAGCAATGCCGGAGATTCCTTACATTCCACAGACCATGGCGTGCAGCTGTGCAAGCAGAGGGTCGTGTGCAAGACTGCCGAAGACACCACAATCAGTCGGTCCCCTGAGCATGGTAAGCAGGATATGTCCTCCAATGTTTCCATTTATGTAGTTATTTGGTGCACTTTTTCCCCCAAACATACATACAGTACTTTCCATGTCTCTGGTAGAAATTGAGTTTTGGACCTCAGTTCTGCACAGTTCCATCTTGTCACCATGATGTTATGTAAGATTTCTTGTGCCCTTGGGACTCCTATGAGCTTGGGTCCAGCATCCAAGTTTTCTGGGACCTTTTCACTTCAGACAAAAGGCCACATTCATACTGGCATGCCTCAAAGCTTAATACGCGTTATGTTAAGGCTGCCTATTGATTTTATTTGGGCTTCTAATGCAGACTGGAAACATACCCGCTTCTTTCTCCTGATGCAGCACACCACAATGCACGATAGTTCATTGTGATACACTACAACACAAGTGTATTGTGGAGATACACTTCTGAATGAATGTCTTTGCAACGCCACAACATGGATAAGGTCTATTATTGCAAGCGTGGATCCAGCCTAAAGTATTTACACATTTCTAACAAGTTATAAATGAGCTTTAAAATAGGCCTTCACTGGCCTCTGTAGCTGTAGTCACTGTGGGGCAATTTACCGTAATTCCCAACTCCAGCGATATGAAAAATCACCCTTGAAATGGGGTTAATGTCTCTGTATTGTATGTGATGATGCCCATGACTCTGTCCACACACTAGAAGGTTTGGGCAAAGGAGGAGAGAGCCGAAGCAGGAAGTTGGGTAAGTAATACAACCTTCACTGTACCCCCATAGACATACCCTTGCAGTGAGAGTTGAGGTTTGATATTGAAAGGGTGGATTTGTTGACACTCCTAGATTTGAGCTTTAGGTTCACTGCAGAGACATTCTGGTCCATTTTTGTTGTATGTTTCCAACAGCTTAGAACACATGCTGTCTGTTTGAATTGGAAGGTTACCATGTCACTGCTGGGCAAGGACTCTGGTGCCTTTGCCATGAACTTTGTGGATGAATTGCATCACAGTTCCTGCAGACATCAGTGGGGGCTTACTTTAAAAAATATGTAAACTCAACATTTCATATTTCTCATATGTGCCTGCACTATTGTGTACGTGTATGAAAAAGTATCTTGTTCTCTTTGAATTGCTTCCTTTGTGTGAAATCTCTGGTGTTCGCGAGAGCAGTGTGGTCAGTTCTCTAGCTGTGCTGGGAACTCTGTAAGCTCTCCTCCAATCATCAGACTTGTACTGACAAGTCTGATGGTTTACTACTGCTTTAAACCCAAGTAAACATAGTGTCATTGTAAAACTGCACTCCAGAACACTATGGCCACCACTCAATGGTACTAGTGAAGTTGTTGAGAAAACATTTTAAGGAAATATGGAAGCTGCCATTGGTGACCTCTCCTTTTAAAGATGCTAGTTGCTGGGCTGTTACAGTGGATCAGATTTTTTTTATTGTGTTTATTTTTTTACAGACAGACTCTCCTGTTCTACCTGGTTGTTGCAGGCCAGTGATTGAGAAGTATTGAAGCCTCTGGGCCAGCATGCCAGCCAAGCAACTACCATTTTTTTTTTTTTTTTAATAATTGCCAGATTTTCTTGGCCTTGATGCCTAGCTTGCCAAATGACGGTTGTATTTGACTATACTGAGAATTGGTACAGACCACAAACTGGATTAGATGAGCGGTGGTTTGTGATGTGGATTGGTGTATTCAGATGAATGTCACAGAGCCTGACCCATCTTGTTTGGTTAAAAAATAACTTTTATTATTCAGTTGTGGTTAAAGAAAAGAAAGTCTTGTGATCGTTTGGGCTTGGCTGCTGTAGTCTTTGTGGAAAATAATTGAGCACCGAGCATCTGGACTAGCGCAATAAAAAAACTATTTCATTTTGTAAGGTACATCAGCATGATAATTTCTAGGATCTAGAATTTTTTTTTTTTTTTTTTTTTTTTTTTAACTCATTTGTTTGGATTTTTTTTTTTCTGCCCGTTATTTGAAAACATGCCCACCCAGCATTATGTTTACTTGTTACAATGTAGTAAGAGTTTATAGTCACTGCTTCATAGACTTGCAGCTCTGAAGAACTCAGCTGATTAGATCTTTATATATATACTGTTACAATATTTCTACGGGTGCATTCACACCTGAGAATGCCAACTGTACAAAAAAAAAATGGCAACCGTCCCAACATATAACCAGCCTTAGCAGCAAGGTGCACATGGAAGGGCAATGCACATCACAAACACAGGATTTCCCAGCAACACTTACTAGCCAGCCTGCAAAACAACCATATTGGCCCTGTATAACAGTTTGCATTAAAAACAGAGGGTTTTGTTTGCACACATACATGCGTAAGCTGCAGTCCCGCATCAAGGGTTCTCTGTATACTGCGGTCCTAACTCTAACATTTCCATAACCTCCACAGTAGAAGCACATATATCAATGAATAGGTTAAAGCAGGGCTTACAATTTCAAGTCCTGAGCTACTAGCCAGGCCTTAAGAGTTACTCGCCACCAACAAACACACACAAACAGAGAAACCTGTACACACACAGACATGTACATGCATACACACACACACAGAAACATGTACACAATCGCACAGAGACATGTGTACGCACACACACACACATGTACAGATACACACATGTACATACACACAGACACATGTACATGCATACACAGACACACACACGTTGTTAAGTGCTCTCTCCTCTCCCCTAAAGCCACCACTGGCTGACATAGAGGATCATGTGACCAGAGTGAGCTGAAATTAGGTAGACACACACACACACACACACACACCCCTATAAAAAGTTGCAGTACTTCGTTGTTCACTCACAGAGCCGGGTACTGCACTCTAGGGGGAGGCAGAGAGCACAGCGCACACTCCTTGTGCTTTCACTGCGCTCAGCTATTGAGCAGTCTGACAGCTCCCAGTGCCAATGACAGAACTGGCCTGAGCTCCGAGCCATAATTTCCACTCGCCATTGGCGAGCAGGCGAGTGGAAATTTCAAGGCCTGGGTTAAAGTGATAGTAAACTTGAGTTAGGGGAAAAAAAACCCAAAAAAACTTCTTCCTGCAAAGGTAATGTCATAATGTGCTAGAATGCATTGCATACTAGCACATTGTGAAAGACTTACCTTAGAACGAATCCCTCCAGTGGCGTGCTGTCACCATTGAAGGTCTTCCTTCCGGGTTTGCTGGCTCTGGCCGCTTGGTTGGCCGAGCCGTGATCATAGGACTCCCGCACATGTGTGAGGGAGTCACGGTCGCAGCACAGAGCTCTGAAGGAACAGCATGGAATGTCGTTCCTTCAGAGCGCATGCGCGGTGACATCAGCAGCTGCAGAGACGCTGAATATCTTCTAAACTGCACGTTTAGGAGATATTCCTTGTACCTAGAGCTAACCTTTATTATAAGATTACCTGTTGGGCAGCACAGTGGCTAAATGGTTAGCACTTTCGCCTGCAAGTACCAGGGTCATTGGTTCAAATCCCAACCACGGCACCACCTGTTTGGAGTTTGCATGTTCTCCCTGTGCCTCCGTAAGTTTCCTCTGGGTACTCCGGTTTCCTCCCACACTCCAAAGACATGCTGGTAGGTTAATTGGCACCTGTGTAAATTGGCCCTAGTATGTGTATGACTGTAAGTTAGGGACCTTAGATTGTACACCCCTTGAGGGTTAGGGACTAATGTGAATGTACAATATATGTAAAGCGCTGCGTACATTGACCGCGGTATATAAGTTCCTGAAATAACTCTGTAGTTACAAGTTTCCAATGGGAGTCAACGCTTCCTTTAAGGCACAGGGATGCTCGTGATGCCCAGCTACACCTGAGAATGCTCCTGTACTCTGATTAGATGCAGGAACCCCAAGAAGGTGCCGGTGATCAGCTGCGGGAGGCTCCCCTATTGAAAGCAATAGGAGGCTGCTGGCTTCTGCAGGTAATAATGGAAACTCACATGTAATCGCTCATCATCAGCGATCGCATGTGAGTGATCGGCCTTGGATTCTGGCAGTCTGTGTTCAGGGCTGATCACTCGCATGTGATCGCTGCATGACCAATCACGTGTGAGTGGACATGATTTAGCTTCTGGGCCAGCAGCCTCCCATTGCTTTCAATAGGGCTGACGCCTGCTGAGGTTCCCATGTCTAACTGGAGTGCGGGTGCCTTTGCAGGTGTGAATGCGTCATTAAAGTACCTTTTTGTTTTCATGACAAAATGTTTTTTTTCCAACTTGCTCCAAAAGAAATTCTGCAATCTAAATACTGTAGGCAAATAACACTTTATTCTGGAAAGCCACATGCATAGGCCCTAGTTTTTTTTTGGTTCTTCTTTTCCCTGGAAACATTGCTGCAGAATAGTTGCAGATGTTCTGATATTGAGGTGTTAGGCTGGGCTTGCTGCCTGTCTGTGTGCAGATTTTAAGAGGTTCATTCAAAAGTCAAACTGTCCTCATTTCAACCACAAGAGCTCTCCTACCACCCTCTACCGTGTTTGGAATTGTCTTTTGCATTCTGTGTTTGAGAACATTCGTGGTGATTTCCTGCGCTTCCATGAGGCTGATGTCAGATGGGTGATTTTATCGCTAGATACAAATGGCCATTGGTAGAATTGTTAGGATTTCCCTCTGGAATCACGGCAACAACATGTCGCTCCCATTACTAGTGATCAAGATTCAGCAGGGTTTGGGTGAGCGATCCCATAGAGGTAAGTGGAAGGCACTTTGAAGCTGGTGATTTGTCATTAATGGCAGCGTCGCCTGTCTGTCACAAGCCTAAGGCTGGCCATACATTATACAATTTTCTTGTACAATTTCTGTACAATCTCCTTTTAGATTTACCTTTAACTATGTAGTGCAAGGGGAGGCCTGATTGGATACAAATTGAAAGTGCTGTTTAGGTGTGACCTCATATTATATGGTTTATGGTCAATCTAAAGGAAAATTGTATAAGGTATGGCCAGCTTTAAGGAAAAAGCCGGGGGAAGGGGTTCCTTTTTGTTTTTTTTTTTTTTTTTTTGTTTGTTT